AAGCGCAATCATCTTCACGCCCAAGGTGCGTATGTGACTAAGGCTTCTGAGATGTCTGGACCCCCCTCCCTGGCGCGCAGAGCGCGCCAGGGGCGGCGCCGGAAGCGCCGCCGGGGGGGACAAGCGCCGATCCGAGAAATCCGCGCGGACCTCCGAGTTTTTATGTTTATGTCATGGTTCGCTCCCCTACTTGGGGCCCTCTTACCCCTGGAGCCTTTTTAATGTATAAAAACTGTTTTGGACAAATATGTTGGGGGAAATTTAAAAAAAAAAAAAAAAAAAAAAAAAAAAAAAAAAAAAAAAAAAAAAAAAAAAAAAAAAAAAAAAAAAAAAAAAAAAAAAAAAAAAAAAAAAAAAAAAAAAAAAAAAAATGGTTTTCCCCAGCGCTGTAGTGCGCCCATAGAAAACAAAAGGGAGGCAGGGCAAACTGGATCGCTGGAGACGTCCCCGCGACCGCCCTGGCGTCCTGCGTGCAGGGCCAGATGCCTGCGCATCCCCCTCTTGGCGTCAGGCCACGCCTGCCACGCCCTGCGACCCCAGCGTGGATAGAGATTGAGCTCAGGGACCACTCCCTGCGCACCGCGCACCCTGTCTGGGTTGCGAAGCGGCACCGAATACGCAAATGCGGCACGCCGTTGGTAGATTTTAAACAACGGGGGCGATGTTTAGCTTCAAAACCCAATGGCGAAAACCCAATGCAAAAATTCGTTATCTGATCGGAAGACGGGAACATCCCAATGTGGATATACGACACTGACTGCAAGTGTGCCAAGCGCGCGCTGCGGCGGCATGCCGCTGATAGATATTATACAACGGGACGTAATTTCGCGCGCGCAACGGCGGCATGCGGTTGATAGATTTGATGCAACGGGAAGATTGATATCCAAAATCCAATGGCGAAACCCAATGTTACTTTTCTATTTTTTATGTTTTGAAAAGGGGGGGAAGAAAAACAAACCAAAAAAATCTGGTCGGAAGAAAGGAATATCCCCATGTGGATATGCGGCGGCATGCCGCTGATAGATTTGATACAACGGGAGCGATGGTGCACTCCAAAACCCAATGGCGAAAACCCAATGTAGACAGAGAAAAAAACATTCTCTGATCGGAAGACGAGAACCTCCCAATGTGGATATACGACACTGAGTGCACAAATGCCAATCGCCAACGCGCGCGGCTGCGGCATGCCACTGATAGATTTGATGCAACGAGAGCGATGCTTGACTCCAAAACCCAAAGGCGAAAAACCAATGAAAAACTCCTGCTCTGACCGGAAGACGGGAACATCTCTATGTGGATACACGACACTGAATGCACAGATGCCAATCGCCAGCGCGCGCGCGGGCGGCGGCGGCATGCCGCTGATACATTGTACACAACGGGAGCGATGTTGAACTCCCAAACCCAATTGCAAAAAAAAAAAAAAAAAAAAAAATAAAAAAAAAATGGGAAAATTCATTTTCTGATCGGAAAACGGGAACATCCCCATGTGGATATACGACACTGAGTGCACAGATGCCAATCGCCAGCGCGCGCGCGCGGCGGCGGCATGCCGCTGCTAGATTATATACAACAGGAACGATGCTGAAGTCCAAAATCAAATGGCGAAAACACAACGCACAAATGAATTATCTGATCGTAAGACGGGAACATCCCCATGCGGATCTACGACACTGAATGCAAAAATGTCAAGCGCCAGCGCGCGCGCGGCGGCGGCATGCCGCTGATAGATATTACACACCAGGACGAAATTTCGCGCGCGCGGCGGCGGCATGCCGCTGATAGATTTTACATAACGGGGGCGATGTTTATCTCCAAAACCCACTGGCGAAAAGCCGATGTAAAAAATCATTCTCTTATCGGAAGACGGGAACATCCCAATGTGGATATACGACACTGGCTGCAAGAATGCTAAGCGCCAACGCGCGCGCGGCGGCGGCATGCCGCTGATAGATGTTATACAACGGGAGCGACGTTGCACTCCAAAACCCAATGGCGAAAACCTTATGTACAAAATCATTCTCTGATCGGAAGACGGGAACATCCCAATGTGGATATACGACACTGAATGCCAAAATGCCAATCGCCAACGCGCGCGCGGCTGCGGCATGCCGCTGATGAATTTGATACAACGGGGGCGATGTTGAACTCAAAAACCCAATGGCAAAAACCCAATGTAAAAATTCATTCTCTGATCGGGAGACGGGAACATATCCATGTGGATATACGACACAGACTGCAAAAAAAAAAAAAAAAAAAAAAAAAAAACGCCAACGCGCGCGCGGCGGCGGCACGCGGCTGATAGATTTTATACAACGGGACCCATGTTCAACTCCAAAACCCAATGGCGAAAACCCAATGTAAAAAATCATTTTTCTGTTCGGAAGACGGGACTATCCCAATGTGGATAGACGACACTGAATGCACGCGGCGGCATGCCGCTGATAGGCCTTATACAACGGGAGCGAGGCCGAAGTCCAAAATCAAATTTCGAAAACACAATGTAAAAATTAATTCTCTGATCGGAAGACGTGAACATCCCCATGTGGACATACGACACTGACTGCACCAGCGCGCGCGCGGGCGGCGGCGGCATGCCGCTGATAGATTTTATACAACGGGAGCGATGTTGAACTCCCATACCCAATGGCAAGAACCCAATGTAAAAATTCATTCTCTGATCGGAAGACGGGAACATCCCCATGTGGACATACGGCACTGACTGCACAAATGCCAATCGCCAACGCGCGCGCGGGCCCGCGGCGGCGGCATACCGCTGATAGATTGTATACCACGGGAGCGATGTTGAATTCCAAAATCCAATGGCGAAGACAATGTAAAAATTCATTCTCTGATCGGAAGACGGGAACATCCCCATCGGCATTCTCCCCGGTACCGAGGTGTATACAAGTGGCATCGATCGGCATCCATGGAATTTGTTCCAGGGGGGACAGATAAAAGAAAAGTTATTCGGATGCGAATTACTGGCAGTCGGGATCCGGGGGGTTGGGGGGGAAGGGGGGGTCATCATTTGTTGAACCGGTTTTGGACATTACTCTTGGAGCCCTCTTAGTCTTGGAGCCCTCTTGGGGCCCTCTTACTCTTGGAGCCCTCTTGCTCTTGGGGCCCTTTTCACTTGGAGCCCTCTTGGGGCCCTCTTACTCTTGGGGCGTCCTCTTGGGGCCCTCTCACTCTTGGAGCCCTCTTACTCTTGGGGCGGCTGGAGACTGGGACCCTCGTGCGAGCCTCTTGGAGATCTCTCTGGGGCACCCGGGGACGCCCAGGGCGCCTGCCGGGCTTCTTGGGCCGTCTTGGATTTCTCTGAAGGGGCCCCAGGACACGCAAATGAATACACACAGGTAAAAATATGCTGCATGTGTTCCCATCTTTTCTGGGTTTCTGTCTCCCCCCCCCCCACTTCCCATATGTTCCCATATTTTCCTGGGAATCGACGATCCATTGTGTCTGTGTGTGTGCGTGTTTTTTTTTCCCTCCTGAATTTCTCAAGGAGCCAGGCAACCTTCAGGCCCTCGTGGAGGCGTCTTGGGGCCTCTGGGAGGCCCCTGTTGGGCCTTCCCGAGACCGGCTTCGACATGAGAACCTCCTCCTCCTCCTCCTCCTCCTCCTCCTCCTCCTCCTCCTCCTCCCTCCTCCTCCTCCTCCTCCTCCTCCTGCTCCTCCTCCTCCTCCTCCTCCTCCTGCCCTCCTCCTCCTCCTCCTCCTCCTCCTCCTCCTGCTCCTCCTGCTCCTCCTCCTCCTCCTCCTCCTCCTCCTCCATCTCCTCCTCCTCGGGTCGCCTACGGCCCTCATGCTATATGAAAAGATCTGAAGGCCCATGACGACTCCCAGTTTCCATCCCCCTCCGCCCATTCCATCCGGCACTTCTCGCTCGGAACGCCAGACATCACAGAGGGTACGACTCGCCCTCTCCCCACGCCCGCGCATGCGGGAGCGCGCGCAGGAAAAGAAGAGGAGGAGCGTGCCAGAACTTAGCGGACAAAGAAGGGTTTCAGAGAAAGGTTCACGCAATCGGTCACGCTGGGGTATCCGCAAGCATGCTTTGTCCACGCTGGGGCGGGTTGGAACGCTCATCTGCTGCCTGGTAAGGTTTCTGTCGTGTGTTCTATGGCCGACCCCATCCCAAGGCCCCGACCACCACTAGAAAATCGCACCCCCTCGCCAGACCCGATCTACTAAAATTGCCCATCTTAAAAAAAATGTATGGAAAAGCTTTGCTTCCCGAGAGGCGCCCCCGATGGGGGTAAGAACTGCCAAAAACATCAAAAACCAACCAGAACAGCCAAAAAACATCTGTGAACACCGAAAACGTATTTAAACCAACAAAAAAAGACCGAGTTCGCTCCAAGACGGCTAAAAAAGGTCTCCCATGCCGTCCCCGGACTGCCAACGAGGGTCGCAAGATAGCCCGAGATGGCTTCAAGACTGCCTGGGGGGGGGCCCAACATGGCCCAAGAGGACTCCGAAAGAACGCTCAAGAGGCCCTCGAAAGCAAGGATCCCTCAGGGTTTTGACACTTGATCAAAACCCCAAGAGGGCCTCAAGATGGCCGAACATGGCCCCAAGTGGGCCCCAAGGTGGTACAAGATTCCAAGAGGCCCCCAAGACGGCCCAAGGGGGCCCCAATACAGCCAAAGGCGGCCCCAGGACAAGCCCCCAGGAGGCCCCCATGAGGCCCCGACCAAGACGCCCCTGAAAGGCCCAAAAGACCCCAAACGGGCCTCCCAGAGGTCCCCCTACCACCAAAATCCTCCGATCTAAAGGTCCCCCGAAAGGCCCTCGAGAGGCCCCAAAGAAGCTCCAATGTTTTTGCTCGACCTCCTTCACGCTGCGTTGCTGCGCTGGCAAAGTGGCGGGGCTTGCTGCACGCACACAGATAAGCTGTCCACCCGCCTTGGGAGAGGCGTCCCCGAGAGCAGAAAAAATGTGTGTTGCACATCTCTTCGTGAAAAAAACTCCGTGCTTACACAGCAGCATGTGGCCTGCAGCCGCGGAATGTCGAGCCACGTGCCGTCTTCGGCCGCGGCGGCGCAGCGCCCGCGGAGCCCGCCCAGCCGCTGCAACGCCTGGCTGCCAGGAGCCGTCGCGCCGGGTTCCTCCGCGCCCGGCAGCACATGGTCCTGGAGAGCCCCCCGCCATAAAGACGCCCCGCGCCCCGGGCCACCGCCTGGGCTGAGCGGGAGGCTAAGACCTCCTCGCATCGTGAAGGGAAATCTACGGATGGCTGGTTGCAGAGATTCTGCCTCTGGGGCCCCGAACGGACCCCGGGACCGTCAGTGCACGTACGCAATCAGGCGCCCAAACGGCGCATAGGCGAGACAGACCAGTCAAACGAACCAGAAAGCAGACACACCAGAGGCGCGCCAGTGCGAAGGGGAGGAGGAGGAGGAGAAGGAGGAGGAGGAGGAGGAGGAGGAGGAGGAGGGTGTGGAGAAGGAAGGCACTTACCGAAGAAAGCAAGGCGGCCAAGAGCAAGAGACGAACGAGAAGAGAAGACTGTCCAGGTCCTGCTGATGCGGCAGGTCGGCGACGCTCGGCGACTTCATGCACACTTGACATCGGCGGGCTTTCAGGGCGCGGCGAAGCCGACCTTCGCCCGAGTCCCTGAAGGACCATATGCACTTCTAAAATTACAGCAGACTGCATCGAGCGTCGAAGCGACTGAAAGCAGCTGCTCGAGTGGGAGCGGGGAGAGGGAGATGACAGAGGCGAGACCAAGACCACCGAAGGAGGCCAAGGCAAGGAGAAGACAGGTGAGAAACGGGAAAAAGGCAGCGCCAAAATCAACATACTCAACCATGGGGGTAAGCGAAACAGAAGCCCGAGGGCTACAGCAGAACACACACGCGTTTGTGGGCCCCCAACAACTTTGGGTGATCGCATAGAAATCTGGACGTCAAACGACATAAAAAAAAACACGGTGGGACTTACCCGCGATCAAATGAAAGCACGCAAGAAAAGATCACCCTGCAGGCGCGCTACTGGGAGCAAATGACGCGCTCTGGCATGCAGAACGGGGGTAGGAGAGTCGCCAACACGCCACAGGAGAGTGGTTTCCACCTTCTTCTGGAAGCTTTTCTCACCGAGTTCAGGCATCCAGGGGAGACGATTCAAGGCAAGAAGGTTATGAGACGGACCCCTGAAGGTCGTAGGGAGATACATAGGGCGACTCTTTCAAGCGATTGTACAACAGTGGCTGATGACTTCAAGCTTATCGTGGAAAACTCTCGAGTGAATGGCGGGCCCGAACTTGAAGATTCTACAGACCGCGCATGAGCATCTTGCCTGGACATGACAACCAATTCCGTTGATTCTATAGGAAGATAACACTACACATCACCGTGGGACGCAGTCGGCATTTGAAGCGCTCTGTTTCCATACCTAAAACATGGGAGCTCACGATGCACGCGAGCGCACTGAAATCAAACGCGCATCTAACCAGATTTGTCGCTAGGCCAAGTCGCGGGGATTTCGCGCGAGCGACTCTGTCGATATACTTGAAGCCCAGAGCGATCCACAAGCCCCATCTGCCCATGGAAGCCGCTACGGACACCTAAATGCTGCCCTGCGTCGGAGAGGATGAACCTGCGACCGCCAATGCACTGGGCATTGAGTCTGGCGCGGATGACCCGTCGATATGTAAGCTTGGACAAGACTACCCAGACGCCCTCGACCTTCAAAACGAGGCCGGCTGCTACAGCAAAGACAACGAAGATCGGGAGCGTCATGGCGAGAGTGTTCCACACACACACACACACCGGCGACGCCGGCATCGTCAGCGAGAGCGCCAAGACGATGAGTCGGGTGGAAGGCGCGACAGCATCAGTCGGAGGAGGGGTCGAGACAGAGGCCGAAGATGGAACCAGAGAGAGGGCAGCCTTGTTTAATGCTGCTTGCGCACGCAAGCCCGCGATTCACAACCCCGCCGCGCAACGCGCTGACCCAGCACAACAAATAGAGTAGCTCAATGGCCCAACAGATCCTCGGGGGTGCTCATGGCCTCGAGGACAGAACGAATGCACTCGTGCCGAAAACTGAAACATGCGGCTTCAACGTCATAGAAAAGGCATCCAGTATCGATCAGGCATAGCTGGCAAAAATATTGACTCATCCTTGTCTCCAGCTCGAAAATACTGTTGAACATCAATCCGCCACGCACAGAAACAGTCCAATCGTGCATCCGAACACCTGGCATGCATATCATGAAACAACATGAACCCAGCGAGGCCCCAATTAGGGGAAAGTTTCTGCTTGCATTGGCGCAGTGTTTGGCAGTGTTTGGCTTGTTATTGCCTGGAAATGCTTGGCACTGCTTGGCATTCCTCGGCACTGCTTGGCATTACTTGGAATTGGTTGGCATTGTTTGGCATTTCTTGGCATCGCCTCGGGCAAGGCTTGGCATTGTTTGGCACTGCTTGGCACTGTTTGGCACTGCTTGGCATGGCCTGGCCTCGTTCTCGCTCGTGCTCCCTCCCTCAATCAGCGTCAGCGTGTCGGGGTGGGTCCAGCTCGGAGAACTCGATCGAAACCACCGATGCCCTGCTATCGCGGCCAATCCCCCGCTGCAACTGCTCTGGGAGATAGGCGCTCGTTTTGCTTGGGCCCAAATGCCGGCGCTGCAGGTCAGCATGCCAATCCAGCCAGTCAAACAGGGGAAAACGGGTCTTCACCCCCCACAAATCGCACTCATATTATTTTCTCTGACTAACGCCGCTGTCTCAGGTCAACAACAAACAAGAATTATGCAAATATGGAAGTGCCGATCACTCACGATACCTTGAGCGACTGTGTCATGTAGAAGCTGATCCCGTCGAGGATCGTCTGGCCGTCGGTGCTCTCGACCGACTCACGAGCTCCTGCTTCTGCTTCCCGAGGCGGATAGCCTTGACCTCTGCGCGAAGCTCCTTCTCCTCGGACCACCACGTCGCGTCTCGGTCCACGAGCAGTGCGTCACAGAGGCGGCAGCGCACCTTCTCCTTGCACTGGTTGGTGCCGACAGTCGTGAGCTGATCCGCTGGATGTATACATTCGCCGGGGTCAACCCTGCATGTACTGCGTGACTTGCATTTTCCTTTCTCGCTGCCCTTGCCCTTCGGGATCTCCTCCGCGTCGCAACTAGCTCGCCGGCACTTGCTGCATCCTGCGGCCACCAGATGACACGCCTCTAGGATATCGTCCTCCAGCACGTCGCCAAGGTCATGCTCTATCTGCACGTAGGATGCGCGCTTCAAGCGCTCATGTAGCTTGCTAGCCCCATCCATCGGCAATTCCGTTGTCTTCTTCCTGGATGTCGATCCTCCGGACTGCTCGGTTTCACCTGGAACCTCGACCGACTCGTCGCCGTCATTGGGACCGGGGACGTTGTGGTCGGCCTTCTCGCGAGTCCTCGGCTGACTCTCGCACTCGCCTGCTACCATCCAGAACACCGCAAACACCACCAACGCTGTGCCAGCTCCAGCGGCGCCTCCTCCGATCTCCTCGGTCCCAGCACCTGCGGCGCTCATCATGAAGATCTCCTTCACGTCGTCCAAGTCCGCAGTACCGTCCGTATTCTGATTCTCGCCCGACCGTCAGCAACTTACGCACATGGGTCGGAAACCTCTGACGCTCCGCCACCTGGCCCAGCCCTGACCAGTCGACCAAATTCTCGAGCTTCCCGCAATAGACGTCGTCCTCGCGCTGGCCCAGCATCATCCGCCAATGGAAATCGCGATAGTGCTTGGGAGAAAGTCGAGCCGGATGCGCATTATACCTCAGGTCCGCGACGCAGTCCTCGAAGTACGCGTAGCCTTCCCGCACAACATAAGGCTGGTCGGCAGGTCGATGTCGACGAGGATACCTCGAGCGATGGCACTCGCCCCTGCGACCCTTCAACTCCACCCGATGCTCGGAAATGATCTGCTCTGCCATGGGGTCCTCCGTCAAACTGCACTCACCCGTCTGGAGCACACACCTCGTGTAGTCGCCCGCACGGACGTCCTGCTCGGTAAGACAGTCGAGGAGCATATGCTTGGTGTGTACCCACTAGCTCACCACGCCGTTGAACCCGACATCGTTCCTGAGCGACTCGATGTCGACGAGAAGCCGCTTCTCGAACGGAACAGCCCCTCTTTTCTGAAGAGGGTCGCGAAGCGACTTGCAGTCAGAGACCTCCACCATCCTGATCGCCCTTACATCATCCATGCGGGTCCAGTAGCCCAGCCCATGGTAAAGCTCCACCAGGTGCTGTCTCAGCATGTCGCCAATCTCGACCGCCTTCAGCGCTGCCATCGTCTCGGGTGCCAGGGTACTCCGTACTACCCGCTTGATGCGATGCGATCGCCACAGCGTCAGAGTAACCTTGGCAGGCTTCACGCGCAGGAAATGATCGCCCGTGTTGTCCACGAGCAAGATGGCCAGGCCCGCCTAGCTAGCGGTCTTCGTCTTGCCCACGTTGCCGTGGCTCGAGTCCCGAACTGCCACCGCAATCACGTTGTCCATGTCTAACTTCTGCAAGGTGACGTCCACGCGGTCGGTCTTGGCATCGCTCACGAGCTTGTTGTAGCCAAGCAGATCTTACACCTTCAGGTCGCCGTCGTGAGCCCGAGCCTGGCTTTCCACCAGCCGGAACGCCAAGTCCATCTGCGTAGAGCGGACCAGCAACTGGATCTGGTCGTTGCCACTGTGGAGCATCGCCATTTCCTCCGCCGTGGCCTTCGCGCCCTTTGCCTTCCGACGCTCAGCCGAGATGGGAATCTTATCGATGCTATCCGTGCACTCCTTCTGGCTGCACGTGATCGCGCCGTTGTCGTTCTGCTTGAGGACGCGCCCGCAGCGGTGGAAGCCCCCCTTCGGCGTCCGCAACTTGCCGCAGCAGTGCACCTTCCTCAGCTTGGCCACCTGATTCGCGAAGAACTTGGGCGATCCCGCGACGAGGTCTTCGTCGACGCGCGCCCCGATCAGAGCGATCAGCTTCCCCCTCATCGTGGAAGATGAGGAGGGCCGGGCACAGCTTGGGTCTCGAAGCCCCGGGAAGCGATAGGATGGTGTCGCGATGCTCCTCGCACCACAACAGAGGCGCGTCGTTCAACCCGTAGATGCTCTTCTTCGCCTTCAGGACAGCCCCTTCTGGGACGAACGGCCATCCGCTCCGGCACCGCAGGCATGCCGCCCATGGGAACGCGGAAGTACACGCGCCTGGAGCTGTCGAGATATCTCCCGTTCAGAAATGCCGAATCTACGTCGCCCTGCTCGAGGCACCAGCCTGGCTTGCTGGCAGCTTCCTGGATGATCACCGTCGTGGCCGCGTCCGTGAGCGTCGGCGCGTTCGTCTGCAACTCGCCCGCGAGCAGCTGCTCATCCATGTCGCCCGGGACGATGTTCCGCGACTTCGCCCTCAGCGGGTGTTGCCCGCACGGGAGACCTCCCCCCGCCGGCTGATTCTTGTCAGTGCGGACGCGTCTCACGGGCAGGATGTCCGCCTTCTCGACGCCCGCAAGCTCCTCTTCACCCGGCCACTCCACCGCGTCTTGCTGAATCCATTTTCGCCATGCCTCCAGGTCGCTCGCTTCGAATGCCGTCTGCCAATCTGGCGGGATGCTGCGAAGCTTCCGACCTTTCTTTGGGGCAACCTGCTTCTTCGCGGCGTCAGTCCCCCCTGCCGCAAATGCACCCCTCGGCGTCGTCCTCGATCCTCGGGAGACGACTCTGCCTGAGAGCTTCACGACGCGCAGGAAGTCGTTCGCGATCTGCTTCGAAGTCGTCAAGAAGTGATCGTCTGTAGAGAGACCCTCGTAGGCCAGGTTGCGACGCAGGTTCTTGCTGCCCCTCTTGCCCAGGTCGTTGCTGCGAAGCACTTGGCACAGCAGCCGCGTCGAGGTCCGTAGCACGCCCCTGCCCAGCTGCATCAGGTGTAGGTGGGTCGCTAGTCGTAACATCTTGCATATCATGTCAATATCCAAGTGTATCTTCATCTTTGACGTCTTGCATGTCGTGTCCATCTCCAGGTAGTGGTTCAGCTCTGACGACTTGCCTGTCGTGTCCATCTCCAGGCAGTGGTTCAGCTCTGACGTCTGGCCTGTCGTGTCCACCACCAGGTAGTGGTGATACTCTGGGTAGCACTCCAGGTTCAAGTACATCCTCCTCCATAGTCTGCTTCTCCCGCTTGGGAGTAGCCTCGGACCTCCTCGGGGGAGGCGGCGGAGTTTCTTCGGCCCGCGGCGCCTCGGCCGCCAGCGCGTCGCCCGCGGCGCCCACGTTGTCAGAGTCGCCGTCCCCCCTCTTGCAACGCCTGGCACGTTGCACGCCGCCCCCGCGAGGCCCAGGCCCGCGCTCGCCCACGAAGCCCTTCTGGAGGGTAGGCCCTGCGCGCCACTGCGACAGCTGCCTGACGAGGTCCTTTTTCTCCGCCATCTCATTTTCACCGAGAGGCATGCCGCACCTGCTCGGGCGCCACGAGCACTGGCACCGCACGGTAGCTGAGGCGCAGCCCGGCGCGGCCCTCGGCCGCCAGCACCATGGCCAGGCCGCGCCACCCGTGCTCGCCCTGGAGCCGCTTCGACGTCACGTGCTTCACCTCCCGCCAGTAGAACACCAGCTGGCCCGGCACGAACGGCCCGCGTGGCGGGCGAACTCGACCAACCGTGGCCCTTCTCACGGCGTCGTCGCTGTCCAGCCCGAAGAACGCTCGGTTCGCCGCGGCGCGATACTACTCGGCCCTCCTGGGGCCATCCTCGACGAGGGCTGCGCTCTGCGCTGCCAATTGCCTCTGGTCGCCCTCCATCGCCTCGATCAGCGAGGCCGGGACGTTGGGCGATCGTCCCAGCACGCATTGGTAGGGCGTGGAACCGCTCCGCCGGATGCGATTGTTGCACGTGCTTGCTATGACCGACGCCCAAGCGGATGGGTCGTCGCTCTTGGTGAGCTGCACATCGCGGTTCAGGCGGTGAAATGGTCCTTTAAGAAGTCAATAGCCCATTCCACTCTGCCTTTGAGCTGAGGCGCTGCTGCCAAGACCGGCCTCATCAGGATGTTGCACTTCGCGCCGATATCCGCGAAGTGCTGCGCGACGCGGCCCTTCGCGGCGACGTAGTAAAGCACCTTCGGAGGGCCAGCCCACGAGAGCCATCCTTGCGAGACACAGCGAAGACTCTCCTCGCCCGTGATGGGCCGCACTGCCGCAGTAGGAATGATCACCCTGAAGCTCGACGAGTCACCCAAGTCACCATAACCATCAACCGTGTCTTATCTGAGAGAATATCCTCGGCTTCGTCCAGAAACACGTTCTCGCTGAGCTCTGTCGAGAGCATCAGGTTGGCCGACTTCGCAGCGTTGGGCCTGCCGAGCTGCTTGCACACGACGCACTCCGGCTTATCCACCACGTCGAGCACCCTCTGCGACACCCCGTAGGACTTCAGGAGTCGCTTCAGAGCGCGAGCCGATGGATGACTCTGGTTCAGGTGGAGTTTTCTTAGAGCGCCCCACTGAGCCGTGGTGATGTCCGAAGGCTTGTCGCCGAAGCTTTCACACTCGCGATGTAGATCTCGATGTACTGCGTCTGCTTCGCGATCGTCTGGCTTGAATGCTTTCAGTCGGCTGCCAAGTAAGGGTGCCCTCGCGGGGAGAGATGTCTGCACCTTCGGTCCCTTCACGTAGATCGCAACCACAGTGCGGGTTAAGCACCTCGTGGCTAGCTCGACCTTCGTGAAGTTCGGGTCGCCCGCGCAGGCGTCGGAGAAATCGGCTAGCACGCCCTTGTCGGTGCACATGGCGTGGATGCGCCGCACAGCTCCGCCAGGCAGGGGAACAGCCTCCTTCTGCTGCAGCACGCGTACGTCAATCAGGTCCTTCCTCAGCTTGAATTCCATGGCCACCGTGCGCATGGCCTCCTTGTCTGGGACCTTCGGCACCCCGCCTCCGACACCCAGCTGTTTCAGTTCGGTGCGCCGCGCTAGCTCATGCGCGCCAGCCCTCACCAGGGTCGTGCCCAAGTCGTCTGGCCAGGCACTAGCCCGCGAGAGCAGCGTGCCCCGTGAGACCGTGCCGGCGTGCTCGTGGCCCTCGTGGCACGCGCGGTCGAGCCACCACGAGAAGCACGAGCTACTGACATGCGCGTGGCCTTCCGACTCGACGTCTCGAAGTCGTCCGTCAGTCCGAACATGCACTGGTGCAGCGTGACCGTCTCGCACAGTGGAGGTCGCTCACCGTGTCAACGCAACAGGTCCATGATCGGCTCCTCGTTCCACGCACGGCTCACGGGAGGCTACTCGCAGATGCCGATACGTCCGCCATGAGCCTGAGTCCGAAGCACCTTGGCCGAAAAATCAACCAGCGGCCTGAAGTCCTCGATTAGATCGCACACCCGGTCGCCCATGCCCTGAGCACGCTGCAACACTTGCACGCTCGAGAAAGGTGCGCATGGGAACGCGACCGAGACCATCCAGGGCTCGAAAGGGGGTCCTTGAAGTTCACCCCGACAGACAAATCGGAAGGGGTCGCGTTCGCATGACCACTCTTCGATGCTACACTAGTAAAGCGAGCCTCCTTCGCAAACAGCTCCTACAGGAAGGTCTCCTGGCTGTCGCGCAGTACGTCGAAAATAACAGAACATCCCTTCATCAGCAAGTCGGTCCGTTTGAGCGCGCCCTTCTTGAACTTGCCCTTGCTGCCGTTCGTCAGAGCCTCTGCGACCCACGAGTCGGCGTGATCCTTCACCTGGAAGCCCCGCTCGAACTCCCGCAGCGTCTCCGCGACCACGAACGCATCCGGCTCGAGCTGAGTCGCCCATGTGGAACCTCTCAAAGAGGGGCTCCGACTCGCACGACTCAAGGTCGTAGTCGAAGAGGTCGAGGCCTGCATGCCCACCAGGTAGCTTCACCAGCACCTTGCCACGCATCCCGAGCTCCTGGAAGTCCGCCCAGCGGCCGTCCTCGCGCATGCAGGGGTTCGTCTTCACTCGGCGAAGTCTTTCCCGCTCGTCAGGCCGACCATGTCGCCCGGGATCTCGAAGTAAAGCTGCAGCATATGCTTCTTCCCGATGCCGACTGGGATGACCCACTTTCTGCTTTGATTCACGTCGTGCTCCGCAAATCCTTTGATATTTTGGCGGGCCCCCATCTTGATGTGCTTGAGGCCATACTGCGCGAGCTATGCCTCGACGCGGTCAAGCCGCCCGCGCCCTGTCACTGCCTATCTACCAAGGAAGCCGGAGGACGCCACTTGAGATCATCACCTCGAGCTCCGATCTGTCCGGCACGATCGGATCGCTGTCCACATTCACCCTCAGGGTGTCGTAGTCCTTCTCGGGCTGCCCGCTCACGCATGCGATGTCCTGGCCGCACATCGGGCGTCTGACGCCCACACCTGTCGGCACCGAACAGTCCAGGGCACTCATCGCCCAGAACCCGAGCCGTCGTAGACGATTGGCTAACTTCGATCCCCTGCCGCGGCTCTTGCCCTTAGAAGGCTTCCCAGGGCAGCCACCTGTCGGGCGCTCGGACGTGGCGCGGCCCAACCTGCCGCACCGCATCGTCTGTCCTTTGACTTGCCACCGTCCTTGCCCTTGCCTTTGCCCTCCCCAGAGCTCCCCCCAGCCGCCTTGCCGCCAGCTGCTGCACTCTCGCCCACCGCGCCGTCAATCCTTCCCTTTGAGAATCCCCTGGCAGCCCGCAGATATTCAGCCGACTCTCGCGCATAATGACAAGGGTCTGGTGATATTCGTCATCTTCTCCTGCCAGGCAGGCGTCGGCGTCGTCCTCAATGTAGAACAGATTACAGCGCTGTCGCCCCAGCCCGCGTCTTCGCCCTCGTCGTCAGCACACGCGAAGACGCCAAGCTCGCCATTCCACTCATACTAGCACACGTCATCGTCCTGAACCCAGAACGCACAACAAGGCGCGACCTCTTCGTCTGGATATCCGCGCTCGCACTCGCATACGTTCACTGCCCAGCGCAAGCCCGCCCCCGCGTTCTGTCCTTGGTGCTTGTTGCCGCCGCGAGGGAAGACGTTCCTGAGCGTCGTCGAGATCTCTGCCGAGTTGAAAGTCTCCACCGCCCTCGCCATCATCAGATTGCGCTCGTCCTTGTCGAGTCCGCATCGCTTGAGGATGTGGTACCCTAGTTCGTTCGAGCTTATCTTCGCGTCCGGGCCCACCTCCTCTAGGTTCCGCTGCGCCACCTCCATGGCCGCGCAGAATGCCCCCATCGGTTCTTCGCCCTCGCGCTCGAAGCGCGCCAGGTCGAAAACGCGTCGATGGCCTTCGGCAGCTCACGGAAGCTGCTCTCGGCGCAGCGCTCTGCCTCCAAGAACTCGAGCAGCACCTCGGCGCCCTTCTCGACAGCATAGTCCTTCGGGCCCGCGCGCTCGATTAGGACGCTGATCAAATTGTCCGCGCCGAGAAGGTTGCGGCACAGCCTGGACCCGAGCGCGATCTTCTGCTCCCTGGACTCGCGCCAAAGCTCGGCCGCCTGCACTGCCCCCTTGCACCGGGCGAAATCCTCTAGTCTCGCCCTCCAGCACCGACATCTTCGAATCCACCGCACTGATGCACGCGTCTCCACTCGCCATGGCTGGTCGGGACGGCTGGCCCCTGCAATCTCTCCTGGAGTCCGCGGGGCCAACCGCGGAGCTCCGCTGCCAACCTCGCTCTCTCTCGCGCCCCCTCACTCGATCAGCCTCGGCGCATCGGGGCGGGCCCAGCTCGGAGAATTGGATCGAAAAGACCGATGCCCTGCTATCGCGGCCCATCCCGCGCTGCAGCTGCTCTGGAAGATAGGTGCCCTTTTCGCTTGGGCCCACACGCCGGCGCTGCAGGTCAGCATGTCACGTTCAGCGAAACAAGGGATTGCGGGTCTTCACCCCCCACAAATCACACCTGGCATTGCTTCGCCTAGCTTGGCATTGCTTCGCATTGCTGGGCGATGCCCGGGGCATTGCTTCGCATTGCTGGGCACTGCCAGGCATTGTTCGGCGTTACTTGGCATTGATTAGGATTTCTCGGCATTGCTTGGGGCACCCGGGGAACACGGAGAAACCGAAGAAACCAAGATGCCCAATGAAACTAGGGAACAGGAAGAACCGATGAACACGAAGAAACCGGGGAATCCGAGGAACCCGATGAAAAACGGTGGCACCCGAGGAAGCCGAGGAATTCGAAGAAACCGAAGGCTCCGAGGAACCCGAGAAACCCAAAGAACCCGAGGAACCCGGAGAACCCGAGGAACAGGGGAAACAGAGGAGCACGGGAAAACCGAGGAAGCTGGGAAACCTCCGAAAAACGGGCAACGCAAGTGTCGGACGAACCGAAAGCGAGGACCGAAAAACTCGAGGAACCTGGGAGACCCGAGGATACACCCGGGGAACTCGAAGAAACCAAAGGATCCGGGGAACCCGATGAAAGCGAAGAACCCGGGGGCCCTGAAGAACCCGGGAAACCCAAAACCCGACGAAAACGCAAAGAAGCCAAGGAATCCGAGGGGCCCGAGAAACCCGAGGAGACCGGGGAACCGAGACTGGAGAAACCGAGGAACCCCCGGAAACTGGAGCACCCAAGGAACCTCCGAGGAACGGGCAACGCAAAAATCGGAGGCACCGAGGGCGAGGAACCCGGGGAACCAGAAGAGCCCGCAGCACCCCTAGGCCCCAACCATCAACCAGGTAAGACACCCTTGAGCAAGCGTAATTGGTGAACGCAGGGCAATACCGCATAGCTTGTTACAGGAGCTCGAGAGAGCGACGGGCCCCGTCTCGTCGACAAAGCAGCATGCCTCAATCAAATATAACAGAACGTCCCCTTTACCAAGAAAGACGCCAAAGTACCAAGAGCGACGCCAAAGGCACGTTTCACGCGTCGCCGACGCGCGGACTCGAGCGGAGGGCGAGCACACAAGGGGCAGGAACAGGAAAGCTTCGCTGCCTGGGCGAAGCCCTTCGCGGGAATCTGCAGAAACTCCGCAAGGTAGCGTTCGCCTTCAGGAGCAAGCGAAGCTCGCTGCACAAAAAGGCGAGCTATTTCTAACAAGTCGGAGACGCGACGCCGGGATAAGAGCGCTCGGCCCCCCGGGGGTCGGCAAGCCCAGAGCTGTCCCGGCCGACCATGGCGCTTAGCTGCCGGGGCCCCCTGGCGTTGCCCTAGCTCGCGGATTCCTCGCTTCCGGCGAGGGGCCTGCAGGGCCCAGATGCGCCGCGAAAGCCTTCCCGGGCCTGGGACCTGCCATAGGAGTGCGACTTGCGGGCCCTGGCCGTGAACCGACGGCGGCCAACGCGGGCCGCGCGCGCAGGCGCGCGGTGCCTGGATTTTTTTTTCGCGGGCGGGCCGCGAGATTCCAACATGGCCAGAGAAGGTCCTGGAAGCAAACCAGACGATGCATTTGGCGCCCTCAAGACGAACATCTTCCTGGCAAGCGAGGTCGCGCACCTCCTGGAACTCGGAGTGCTCAGACACCCACCTCGGCGGCTTGAACGCGCCTCCCGAGCTCGGGCCCCGGGGCGCCAGCGAAACACATCTACTACCCTCGTCAAAATGAACCTCAAAAGTTGCCCGCACGTCAATTCGATCTCGGCGCGCCCCTCAATGTCGACACGCCGCCCCTTCAGTGTCGGGGCGAGGGCAAGGATAATATGACCGAAAGTGGCTCGAAAGTTTGACGTCGACCGACATTGGAGGGGCGGCGCATGCAAGTACCCCGCACTCATCGATACTCGGCCCCAGATCTTCCGACAAGCAGTTCAACCACGTCAGACATGTTTGAGGAAAATGTTAACGAGGGTTGTAGGAGCATGATCAGGCAGGATGGACCGATCCACGACGCCCCCGATGGACACGGTTGCCGGCTGAACGTCCAACAGCTCCACCGTGAACATACTGCTTCAGGATGCGACCGATGGAACCATAAAGGGCCACACGCGACGCATGGGCATCTCCTGAGTGATTCCAAGATACCGGGCAAAAGAGGCGCGCTGCGTGCCCGACGACATCAGACCTGGCAGGGACGAGCATGCCGGACTTGTCGAGACCATTCATCTCCGCAGCAGAAGGTCCAATCACCTGCGATAAATATGAAGTCCTGGTAGCAGGAAGCAAAGCGCGCGAAACAGAACACGGGGAAACCTTCGGAGCGGAAACGGGGACGGTCGGAGCACTGCGAATATTCATCATTAAGCACACCGCTGCGACCTCTGGGGGCGAGGAACGCGGGGGGCCCGCGACGGGCGAAGTAACGATGGACGCGAAGCACTTCACGAGTCCGAGTTCCATATAGAAAAGACTGAGGTAAGACCGGACAGAAGTGAACATGTTGGGTATACTCCAGGAAACGATCGAAAATTGCTCGGAAACCTCGCACGGCAAGACATCCTCGGGGTCGGGGCGTTCATGCAGGACGGGGAATTCCGCGGGGTCGGAGCAAGAGTTGGGAGCAGGTGGATGACAGAGGATGAACAGCTGCTTGGACAAGAGGAAGAAGTGGAAGTGCGACCCATGCCCTTCTACCTGCACAACACCCATGGGCACGAAGCTCGAGACGACTTTGCCGTGGCGCGCGGGGGCGGCGCAGCACTCCATGGGACGGCCGCCGCCGCAAGCTCGTCAGAACCAGAGCGGTCAGTGCAGGACTGGAAGAGACTCTTGCACTTCATGTCGAACGCGAAGACGTCGCCTCCTGTCTCGACCAGCGCGGCGAAGACTTCGACATCGTCGCTGCGCAGAGAAGGAAGAAGAGGCCACGCGGCCCGCTGCATCCAAGACGGAAGGCGGCACGCCAGATATCTTTCTCCACTATGTGCGCGATGAACAAGGCGGACAGCCTGATGAGTGCGAGGGTCGTACCAAATGAGGCCAACCGCTGCAATGGCCTCGAGGACGGAGATGGCGATGTCACCCGATGACGCCCTGATCAAGCAACTCATCTGCATGCTTTTGGCGGTGACCTCTGTTCTTCGGCTGTGAGGCAAGGAATGGCGGAAGGAACTCTGGCGGAGCAATTGGCCATCTCCTTTTCCAAGACGCGACGCGGAAAGCCACTCATCAGATCTTGCAGTGTGAGCATCCCCTCCAAAGGGCATGGGAGTGGGGGACCCGCCGAAAGCTCGACGCATGAAAAAGCCTGAAGGTGCCGAAGCCACAGAGCCTGCTACCGAGAAACAACTGCGCGTCGAGCCGAAACCTATGAAGCCAGCAGCACTCTCGCACGCAGCCAGACGAACTTCCAACGTGGCCATGATGGTGGCCTTCTACCGCTGTTGGGATCCTCTCGCTAGGGCCCCATCGATGTTGGCAAGATTGGTCTCGAACGCCTCGAACTTCGTTTCGTGGTTGGCGATCTGAATATGGATGTTCGCAGTGTCGCTTCTGGTGGCGACATCGGAGAGGGTCTTGCTCATGCTGCGGAGGAGGCCCATCATGTCGTTGGATGCGTTTTCGGCATGCGCAGGGGAAGGGGACGCAGACCGCGACGTAGCGGTGCCACCGAGCTCGGGGAACTCGGGCTTCTCGATGTGGATGGTACCGGACCTTGGTGGCGCTCTCCATGGCGACGTCGCCTTGCTAACCGTACGCTTGGGTGGGGCCCTCTTCCGCGTCTGCGAACTCCCCATCGGGCGCGGCCGCGGAGGACTGGGGTTCCACAGGGGTAGTTCTCGACGTGCCTGCAGCACCTAGGACCGCAGGAACAGGAAATGCTCCCGTTGATCCACAACCTCGGACGCAGTGTGAAGTCTGGGCTCACGGGGCAGGCAGCTCGCCGTGAGGATCGAGCGATCAAAGCACTTAGGTTGAGGTCGGGCATGTCCCCTACACGCGGGTTTTGGGCGAAAACTTACAAATACTCCAAAAACAGTCCGCTCAACCCAAAAAAAAACATATTCGAAAAATCGTCCCCAAACTATGTTTGACTATTTGAGAATATTCCTCCTGTAGAAGGACGTGTGCCCGACTGAAATCTAGGTCTGGCCTCAGATCTGCTGGCCCGAGGAGCTGGAAGCCTTCAGCCAAAATGGCTACAAGCGAAAAGGAGGAGGAGGAGGAGGAGGAGGAGGAGGAAGAGACGGACGCTGACCAGCAAGGACATGAGAAACCAGTCCCTTGGACGGACGAGATTTTCAAACAGGCCCTCGGGAACCAAAAAACGCAGACTTCTGGGGGGGGGCGCATTGCTCAAGAGACAGTGTCGGAGGTCTGGGGGGCGAGGGGAGGGGGGACGGGAGGGGGAACCCTCCGACCCAATCCGCCCCTTCCACGCGGCGGGCGCCAACGCGGCGCGGCCGCGGCAGCCGCCGAGACCACGCCCGTCGCGCGGAGGTCCGAACGGCGGAGGTCGAGGGAAGCGGAGGGTGAGGGAGGGGGAGAGGCGCGCCAGGCAGACGACGTCGACGAGCGCGTTGCACGACTCGCAGAGTAACTGCTCGCAAGTGGCCTGGATCCCCCGCGGGGGAGCTACGACAAATTACAGCAAAGCAAACATGTGTCTTTCGGACGTTTGCGAGTAGGCACTTTGCGAGCAGTGGAACGCGCTCGGTGAAGACAGTGGGGAGGGGGTACACACTGGCATGGGAGGGGGGGTCGGACAAGGCTGCCTGGGGGGGGGCACGGGGGGGACGGGGCGGGGCGGGTGCCGCTTCTGAGCCCGCCGGGGTCCACCCCGTGCTTCCACACGCGCGCCGCGCAGTCGCGCTGCTCCTTGGTGCCGTCCTCGGGCGGAGTTTCAGAAGGAGTGTCCTGAAGGTCGGTCTTGCAAAATGCGCCTCCAGGACCAAGATGATCCTCAAATAATTGCTGGAATCCTAGACCTGGACCTGGCTACGTCCCCCCGAGTAGCCCGCCACAGCGATGTACTCCGAATAATGTATGTGTGTATGTACGTATGTGCTGCATGTAACGTGTGTTGTGCGTGCTGTGTGCTGTGTGCTGTGTGCGTTATGTGTACTGTGCTTATGTGTGTGTTATGGTTTGTGTGTAATGTGCCGTAAGCGGTGTGTGTCGTGTGGGGGGGGAGGGGCCATGTGCTGTGTGTTGTATGCGTTGACTTGTGCTGGTGTGTGCGTGTGTGTGTGTGCTTATGTTGTGTTATGTGCGTTGTGTGTCCTGTGTGTGCGTATTGTGTGCGTGTAATGTGGGTTGTGTGTGCGCTGTATGCTGAGTGTTGTGTGTTATATGTAGTTCCCTACCTAGGCTCTGCCTAGAAGGGTTCTTACCCTCTGGGCTTGAAGGGCCGGGCAGTGGGCCTCGCCCCAAGCGGTTCCCCCAGTATCCGCCCCGCGGTTCCCCCAATTACGTCCCCTTAACTTAACGTTGCTTATCTCATCTTAGCTTAGCTTATGTCATCTTAGCTTAGCTTAGCGTCATCTTAGCTCAGGTTTATCTTAGCTTAGATTAGCTTGTGGCGCTCGTGTGTGCCAACCGCGTTGCCAGTTTAGTTTTCTGTTCGGGTAATTAGCATGGGTGTAATTCCCTACCTAGGCTCTGCCTAGAGGGTTAGCTTGGCTTAGCTTCGCTTAGCTTAGTTTAGCATAGCGCAGCGCTGCATTAGCATAGCATAGCATAGCTTAGCATAGCATAGCATAGCATAGCGCAGCATAGCATAGCATAGCATAGCATAGCATAGCATAGCATGGCATAGCATAGCATAGCATAGCAACTAATGCTGCTGTCGTAGGGGCTCAAACTTCTAGGTAGGGTCGCACTGGGGTAATTTGTTGTGGGTGTTGCGTGGGTGTGGCATGGGTGTTGTGTGGGTGGTGTGCGTGTGCGGTATGTGTGTGTGCTGTGTTGTGTGTGCTGTGTGATGTACGTGTTGCATGTGTGTTGTGTTGTGTGTTGTGTGATGTGTGTGCTGTGTGTACTGTGTGTGGTGGTGTGCGTGCGTGTGTTGTTGTGTGCGTGCGGTGTCCAGTGCGCGGCGCTCTTGTCCCCCCTTCTGGTCCAGCCCAGCTCTTCGTCGCCACTGCCGACGCGCCCAGCCTCTCAGCCCCCTGCGCGATGCCGCGCCCATGCCAGGTCGTCGGTCAACGCCTTCGCGCTGGTGCTCGGACCAGTGCGGGCCGCCATGGTTCGGCACTGTCTCACGCCGCCACCAGAGCAACAGCGACGGCCCCACCGAGGGGATCGCCGGCGTCCCCGGCCACCCGCGCGCCACGCGCGTGCGCCGCTTCCTGCTGCGCCGAGGCCGTCGTGACGCACCACGGCAAAGACAGCGATTCTCTTGTCGCAGCTTCTGGCACGCCTCCGCCCCAGCCTCATCCTGGAGATTTCTCTCTTGAGCGCCCGCGAAGGGTACGGCAAAAATTTATGCAATGACCAACAAATGTGGTCGAAACACCGACGGCGGCCACTGCTGGGCGTCTTGTCTTCAAAGAACAACGTCCGCGGAGGCGCGGACAGCGAGTCCTGCTCAAAACGAAAAGGAACTGATGTTGTGCATCGTACCCATTTCGATCGTCCCGATCTCTCGAGCCGCGGCTGTTGCTTCTTGATACCCTGGCGACGATCGCCACCGCACACGCCTCGAGTAGGGGTTCGACTACAGAATTTACCCCAGAAATACCTTCCTCGTCGAATCTGCAGGAGGACACTTAAAATTCTCAGCTGCTTTGCGAAAACTCGACGCCTTCGTCGTAGAATCGATGGGCAAAACTGATTTCGGGGCAAATCCATTCTGCAGTCGACCCCCTGCTCGAACGCCCCTTCTGGGAGCGCTCCTGCCCGGCGAAACCCCGGGCGCCGCTGGCCCCGCTGCTGCGGGCCCGCCTCCCGCCGCCGCCCCTCGGGGGCCCGGCCCGCGCGCGCCCGCCTGGCGCCGCCGCCCGCTGCTTCCCGACACCGCACGCGTGTGTGTGTGTGTGTGTGTGTGTGTGTGCCGTGGACGCGTGTGGAGTGGTGTGCAGCGCGCACGCGTGTGCTGTCTGTAAAAAATGTGTGCGCGCGCTGTGTGTGGTGTGTGGCGTGTGTGTTGCGTGAAAGGGGCTGTGCGCTGCGCGCGGTCTCTGTGCTGTGTGCGCGTGCGTGTGTGGATCGTGCCTTGTGTTCTTGTGTTGCGTGCGTTCTCCGCGAACCGCCTCCCTGGCTGCCGCTGCCCGCTGCTACCCTGAAGTCGGGCCTGTCCTCCTACAGGGGGAGTTTGGACAAACAAACAAAAAACATCAGAAAAGCTCGAAAAAAGTACCCAAAACTTGGTTTGACTATTCTTACAAATTCCCCCTGTAGAGGGACAGGCCCGACTTAATGCTACCCCGTGTTTGCCCCGTTGTCTTCCTTCCGGCGAGGGCGCGCTGGCGACCTCCCTTCGACGCCACTGTGGTGCGTCTGGCCGCGACGACCGAAAAAAACGTGTGTGTGTATATATATATATGTGTATGTGTATGTGTATGTGAATGTGTACGTATGTGTATGTGTATGTGTATGTGTATGTGTATGTGTATGTGTATGTGTATGTGTATGTGTATGTGTATGTGTATGTGTATGTGTATGTGTATTTGTATGTGTGTGCGTGTGTGTGCGTGTGTGTGTGTGTCTGCGTGTGTGTGTGCGTGCGTTTGTGTGCGTGTGTGTGCGTGTGTGTGCGTGTGTGTGCGTGTGTGTGCGTGTGTGTGTGCGTGTGTGCGCGTGTGTCCGTGTGTGTCCGTGTGTGTCCGTGTGTGTGCGTGTGTGCGAGTGTGTGTCAGTGCGTGTGTGTGCGTGTGCGTGCGTGTGCGTGTGTGTGCATGTGTGCGAGTGTGTGCGGGTGTGCGTGTGTGTGTGTGTGCGTGTGTGTGTGCGTTTGTGTGCGTGTGTGCGTGTGTGTGCGTGTGTGTCCGTGTGTCCGTGTGTGTACGTGTGTGTGTGTGTCCGTGTGTGTCCGTGTGTGT